CTGCAGCGAGTGTCCGTCCACATAGCCCACGAGGCTGCAAGCATGGAAAGCATGGACATACTGACCCACTCAAAACAAACCCCACTTCCTCCAACACGAGACATAGAGAATCCTCCCCAGCGACCAAATGAAGGTAAAATCATCTCCGGAGAAGCTGTCTCCGCTGAAAATCCCGTCGTCACTTGTCGAAGAGGACTATGGAAGAGCAGAATCCGATGACAGTAGGGGATTGCAGATTGTGGATCCCACCTCGTTCCCCATTTCCAAATCCTTCGATTTGCCAGATGGGTGGGTCGTCGAGGAACGGCCCCGCGCGAACTGTCCGTCCAACCCTGGTCGAGTGGACAAGGTTTCTCTTTTCTTTGTTCTTTCCTCTTTTAAATTCTTGGGGTTTGCTTAGCCTTTTGATGGGCATTACTACTTGCAAGCAGTTCCTAATGTATTTATTTGGGTGTTCAAGCTTAGAATTTTGATGACATCTTGCATTTGCTTTAGATGTTTATGGGATTGGAGTCATTGAATCAATTTTTTTTTTCTTTTTTTGGAATGCTGCAGTGGCTCTTGGTTTCTGTTTACTAGTGTACAGTAGCATAAAAAGAATCCAAAGAACTCTAATTTACTTGGGAATTCATTTGGCTAAGCTGCAAAAACATCTATGATGCTATATCCAAATAATGCTGATTTTCAAGTGAATGATTCTTTTTTCTTTTTGAGAGAGAGAGAGTGCCTTCTATAATTGCTTTCCAACATACCTCAGTCCCGTGGAATTTCTTGGGGGAATTTCTTATTGTTGAATAATATTCAATGTTGCACGGAGTGATTATTTTGTAAAATTCTTGTGCCGAACTTTAAAAATTGTGTCAGAACCTGGGAACTTTCATCTTATGTTGCAGTTTTACCGCGAGCTTGAATCTGGAAGGAGGCTTCGTTCCCTCCCAGCGGTTCAGAGGTACCTAAGTGGTGGAGAGCCCGAAAATACAGTTAGACATAAGCCAGTGAATCGCACATTCTGCTCTCATGATTATGAAAATTCTGTGAGTTGAAATGTTAAGAAAAACCATAAAATATTTGTGTTTGGTGAATGAATGTGTTTTCATGAGGTTAATTGTTAGTGGTTTCTTGCTTATATTTTGGACTGCAACACCGGTTCATTGGAAGGAAAATTCTCATCCACTATTCTCATAATGCCGTAGATGCAAATTGTACCACCACGATACACAAGTAGTGGAGAATCATTCAATCTACCAGATGGATGGGTCGTTGAGCATGTACCCCGTAGCAATGGTAAATATGCTGGTATTGTTGACAAGGTACTTTTGCTTACCTTCTTTTGATTTTGGGTTTCTGTTTTTCTTCTACATCTTTGTATCATTATATGCACATGGTTTATGCATCTAAGAATGTGTGCCTTTATGTAGCATGCATGTGGGTAAACTCTTGACAGGGATTCATTCTGTTTTCACCTTGGCTTTTCAAAGAATGCAAGTATCATTTATTCATTCTAGCGAATGAAACATATGTTGGTGGTAGATACGACTATGAATCACCAATTCTAGTTTTTTCTCAGGAAAATGGATAAAGAGGGGTTTTGGCTTATTGTTCTTGACTTGACAAGGAGATCTGAAGTTACTTTGCTTCCTCAAAATGTAAATGTTCGTCTGATTAGAAATATGCTTTGTTAATAGGTTCTTTACCTCTTTGTGGAGCATGTTTATGGATTTAGTTCTGGTGGAGTGCTGATCCTTTCATTTGAAAACTTTTTATTTGATTGTGGAATGTTGAGATATTAGATTCTGATTTACTGGCAAATAAGTGAAGAAATACACACAATTATCAATCAAGTGAAGAACTGGACAGAACTGATGCCAAAGGTTTATAATTTAGTTCTCTTGTTGTATTGACTTTTGCTACTGAGAAAGTTGATTATTCTGCAGTTCTACATTGAGCCAGTGACAGGTTATCGATTTCGCTCTCTGAGATCTGTTGAGAGATACCTTGTAGAAGTTGGAGCAAGTACTCCATCCAAGGTACTAAAACCTGCCAATCAGTTTACTGAGTTTTGTAGTTAACTATAATTGATGATAAATTTCTGCATCTAGAATTTTAAAACTACTATTACTGTTGTCCTGCACAGAATTCTGGATCTCAGAAGAAAAATATCTCTGATGAGGACCATTCTTGGGATATAGTTTTGAAATGCTTAGCAGATAGCAAAAGTACTAAAAGTAACTATGAGTCAAAGGTACTGGGCAAACATTGTGCAGCGAATTAACAAAATAAATAATATCACCATGTTTCAAGCGTGTGAGGCCTCTTCTTTCATTGTTGATTTGATTTAGTTTTGCACTGTGTTTTCCAGCAATTGAAAACTTCTGGTTCTAGGAAGAAACAAAAATCTGGAAACGAGGTTAACCATGCAATGCTTAATTTTGCAAGTCCTCCAGCAAAAGTAAAATGGGTTCTTGGAGGACCAGGGACAAATCTGTGGAACTCTTTTATGGGAGAATCTGGGGTTCCAGAAAATGTACAGAAAACATGGTTTAAGACGTTCATATTATCCATTGAGGAGAGGTTCTCATACTTTCTCTAACTGAACGATTTCAATTTTATGGTGAAACCAAATGATTTTTGATCTCTTTTGAGTTATGATATTTTACTTCTACAGGAACATTCAGCAGCCAGAAAATTCATGGGAAAGTAGTTAGCGCGGGGTTGGTTTGAGTTTCATGAGGCAGTGTCCACTCTTAGCAGCTTGTGGGTCTGGAAGTGTTCAGAACTCTCCATGTGATGATTGTAAATAAATTTTTCTACCATTAGATATGAATTTGAATTTTAATTGCTGTACTAAACAACTCCTAAGCAAGTTGCACAAACTATTCAAAAAGAAAATGAAAAATTTTCATTTTGATTCAGCCAGGACCTTGTATTTGTAAATTTAAAGGAACCTAACACAAAAATTGCAACGGTCATTGAAGCATTTACGATTTCAAAAGAGAACAAAAGAAAACCAACTTGATATGAACAATTACCAGTTAAAAATCCTGCTTTAAAGCTCCTGTATGTTAAGAAAACTATGACTGAGGCACTGAAAATGTAGAGAAATCAGGGGGCAATTTGCCTGACAAGTAGAAAGAAAGCTCATCTCTTAGGTCTACACCCTTTACATCCACGGTTCCACAGCAACGCTGCTTGTAACCCTCATCATGATTGTAAGACAAAGGCAGTTCATCCTGAAACTCGTCTTCCAAATCGATAACAATGTTATGAAGCAAGCAGCAAACAAGAATGATCCTTGGCAACTTATGTTTGTCAGGTCTCCACATTACTCCGTGGATGATCCTCCACATTTCCTTCAACCTTGCAAATGCCCGCTGAGCTACCAACCTGGTTGCTGACAGCCGTTTATTGAACTCAGCTTTTGATTCTGGTAGTTCTTTCCCCTTGTAAGGTGTAACTAAATACGGCAACAAAGGATATCCTGAATCCCCAACTATATATTCCTGTATTTCCAGTCCTTCAGAGAGCACTAGATTTTTCCCATTCAACCTTTGTCCTTTGTGACACAGTCTATAGAAAGATGAACTCTGAAAAACCAACCAATCTTCCATTTTACCTGGCCATCCAGTGATTATGTCTCGGAACCTCATCTCAGAGTCGACAATTGCCTGCAAGACCATGCTGTAATTCTTCTGATGATCAAGCCACACCTTGCCGTCAGGATCTGATGAAGGCAAACACATAGAGATGTGAGTGGTATCAATGACTCCGCAACAATTAGGAAGGCCTTGCATCTTTTCAAACTTGCACTTTATTTCTGTCATTTCTGTTTCATTTGAAGGCCATCGGAGGTGATGAAGTGCCCTCTCTTCCATAGCCTCAACAAAGCGCCATGTCATTTGGGAGACAGTAAAGTGATGCAGCCCAAATAAATCACCAACTGCAAGCAGTGAGTCCCCAGAGCCTAACCGTCTCAAAGCTACTGCTACTTGTTCATGAAATGACACAGGTTTGCCATTTGTAAAGGTAAAATTCCTTGACTTAGCCATCATATGATCCTCCACAAGTGAACATATGTAGTTGAAAGTTCTTCTGGAGATCTTAAAAATAGACTGGAACTTATCCAGACCCCTTTGTGGAAAATGGTGACCTACAAAAAGAAAATAGGATAAATATGCAAGGTGAATGCTAAGAGGGGAAGCAGAAGCTTTATTTAAACAAAAGTTTATTCAGTAGCAAAAACTCACGAATATCATATAAAAGAAAATCAAGTTGACTACCACAGATATACCTCATCGAAGAAGATTAGATGAGGTATAATCATGTAAGTCTCATGTTTAAGGAATTCATATTCCATTGAGAAATAAAAACAACATTAAGATTCATCATAAACAATAACAAATTCTAGGCCTAATCAAAACCAGATTCATATCCATAGCTATAATTCTCACCAATACCCTTTATTTACCATATTATGCAGAAGCAGGAGGGACAAAAGTGTCCAACTAAGAATGTTAATATGCCTATATTGCACGTAAAGATGAATACTTCCAGTTTCACTGGCGCACTGTGCAGATGGTTAGAAGTTAAATTATATGAACATATATTTCTGCATCTACGATTAAAAGTAGGATTTTCAGCATGTTCACCCATGAAATTTACTGGTTGCATTGCAAGATTATTAGCCCCTAGTGTGAAGCTGTGAACTACTGATTAAAAATGTATCAATTGGCTAATCATTTCAACATATTTGATAAGCAACTAGCACCAATGTAGAAATACTCAAGGAAGCCAAACTAAAGTTAAATGTAGAGAAAAGAATCAGAAGAAAGGGAATGACAACAGATAAAGAAACTACTAAAGTCATGGAAACAAATAAGTTAACAGTGAAGTAAGAAACTACTGAAGTCATGGAAACAGATAAAGAGCAGCAGAAACTTGTCAAAAGGGAATGGCACACTCTAGCCTGTTTGGAGAAACAACATTGCAACTAAAACAGAGTGGATAAATATAAACCGTGGCATGCTCACACCTACATGTGAAACTCTCCAATAAGCGCGAACCTTACTCCCTTACACTTAAATTTTTTCTTTCAGATTAAACAATGAGCTATTCTTATCACTTTTTACCTATCAATTCAAGTATTAATATGTCTAGATGTGCATGTCTTTCATAAAAATTTTCTTCAAGAAGCAAGTTTTAGCCCTCACCTCCGTCTACAGTGCATTGAATATTTAGGTTTTTAAACACTACTAATGTCTGGGTAGTCATCAAATCCCAAGTGTTTTAAACACGTTAGAGAAGATAAAAAAGGGCATATGTAGTTGACCATCAAACCAGAAATGGTGACACATAAAATATCAACTTTAGTTGTCTTTACCATATTCAATCATTTGCATAGAAAATACTACGGCTTATCTAAGGCTACATCTAATACATCATATGGGACAGAGCAGACAGTGTTACCAACATCAAAAATAAAAAATAATAATAAAACAAAAGATCAGGGAAGGACCGGGTTAATTAGAAGAAGGATGAAAACAAATGTTGTTCCTACCTAATACCCTAAGGAAACTAACCTACCAGCAGAACAATTATCTTGGAGAAAACCAATTATGTTCAAGGCCCATCTAACGAGCACTTGGCTTTTGTTTATATTTTCAACTCTAAACTCCAGCTACTGATTTGTGAATTTTGTTGATATTCACCCAAAAGATTTGAGCATAAAATTAGACATTCACCACAAACTGTATCAGTTTTTCAAATGCATTAGCCTCCCCCAAAACAAAATAAGCACCCTAAGTTAAATCGTACCCTTTTCAACGAGATAACAAATATCAAAATGTTAGGTGAAAGAACGATGCAAAAGTCAGATTAGGGATCCGCCTTAATATTCTCAAATGCATTGGCTAGGTATCAGCAAATAACTTGAGATTAAGATTTTTACCTTAATTCAAGTCAAAATTTCCGAAATTAAACTAATCCCATTCACTCAAAATCTACCAACAAGACAACAACTGATAGAAATTGGAAATTTACATACCGACTATGTCATGAATGATCAACCAAACCAGACCAATATCAACATATCACAAGGAAAGCAAAAAGGCAGTAGGGGATATAGTAAAGCAATAAAATCCATAAAGAAAATATACCATTAATCCTCTTGGAGAACTCATCCCACCAATCAACAGACCCTCCCTTCTCAGAGGAACCAGAACCATTTTCTTCAGGCTTCTTCTCTACCTTCCTTCTCTTTTTCAACCCTCCCACGGGACCCATCAACCCCAAACACTCCCAATTGAATCAAAACTCGAAAACCCCGTAGCTTCGACAAGCAGAATCATAAACGCTGTCTCCTAAATCACCAAAAAATCAGTACCCATTACTAATATCACAAAAATATTCAACGTAAACACAAAATATGTCCCAAGAGACCATAACATATAAATGAAAGAAATAGATAACAGTAACATGCAAGGAGTACACATAGCGGAGAAAATAAGAGTGTGTTAATGGTATGTGAATGCTTTGGTGTATGTGTGGTTTGGTTTCCAAAGCATGCAGAGCAGAAATTTAGAAGCAGTACATGGTGCCAACGCTTTGGCGTTTGTTAGAGGAGAAAGAAACATGAACACTGCTATTAGGTAGACTATATTTTATCTCTCTAGTACATGCTGTGATTTCCTATATAGACTAGTAGAGAGATTTTGCTTAAAAAATATATATATTTGCTGAGGGACTCAGGAATTACTGTTTAAATTATATATTAAGAATACAGATTAATTTATAAAAATATTTTTAATAAATTAATTTAATAAATAAAGTATATTTTTAATATACAATTTATCATGTGAAAAAACTTATATGATATATATTTTTAACTATTTAGGTATTTTCAAATTAATTTATGTTTGTTTTAAAATTAAACTTTTTTTATCTGATTAAAAATAAATTATTCGTACTAAGATCTATGGGGATTTACCTTCTCATTAACTTCTTAAAAAATTAAATCCGGTCAATAAAGAGCAGAGGACACTTTCTTTCTAAGGGCATGTTCGGTACAGCGGTTAAAATTTAGTGGATAGCGGGTAGCGAATAATAGATAGCGGTAGCAGGTGGCGGTTAGCGGATAGCAAAAAGTGGGTAGCGGATAGTAAATAACGAATTCGATAAATATAATTGTTTGGTTATACAATAGTTAACGGTTGTTGTTTAACATTAAATAACTAATAAGGACATATTTAAAAACAAATAAGTGTATTTTTAAAA